AAAGTTTTATTTTAGTTTTATTGTTCTTTTAAGAATTCATAACTCATATGTATCAATAAATGAGACTATTTGTAGCTCAGAATTAGAATGAGCTGTCTCTGGTGCTCTCTGAACAACAGCAAAAATGGTGTTACCTATTTTGGGTAATGAAATGTCTGCAAGAAAACAGCCAAGCTCAGACAGCACCAAGAACTCAGCTTAATTCATTTGTAATTGGCGAGTTTAAATTATTCAACTTTATATATATATATATATATACTTAAAATAGTTAAGTTTGTCTTCTTGAGTCTTCCTTTATATCGGATAGTTTGATAGTTGTTAACTGGTGGGAAAACCTAAGCATAATAGATGAGAAATTTTAAAAATCAGTCTTGTGGTAGGTTTTGGTTTATCAATACATCAACAATGATGCAATAGACGGTGAAACTGGATTTTTGTTGCATTATTTTTATAATGTTTACATGGCAGATAATGGTGATAAAGATATTTTATCAACTTAAGAGTGAAGCCAGGAATTTATAAAAACAGCCCTCCACTCCAACTTGATGTTGCACATGTATTTGAAAGAATTGTAACTATGCTACACAAATAGAAGGCATTAAAATTCTTCTGATAACTGAGAGATTTTGCCAAAATAATCATTAAAACAACTTTATTTTGGCAAGCGTCTTTTCCTTTTTTATTTTCCTTAGTTTCTTTCCCTTTAGTACAAGCAGGTAAAAATTCTTGTCATCTTCTCATTTTTCCATTTCAATCTCTCACAAAAAACAAAAGTTATTCCAAATTATATCCTAAACCATAGAGCATCTGAGAGCGGAAGTTGTCATCTGCCAGTTCCACTACCATCAGCAAAACAGCAGGAAATGGATGCTCCCTGTATGATTAAGATAGCATCATTATTATGATAGACTAGGCTACAATTCTGTTTTATAATGAACATTTTATTTCTGTTGAAAAGCATGTTAGACAGTATTGGTCATAAACATCTGTATATCTGTGTAAATTCAGTTACTATTAGTAACATTAGTTACTATTAGTAACATTAGTTATTATTAGTTACTATTACTTCTAGTCAAATGATGAGCATGGAACTATAACAATTATAGAATTATAACAATTCAGAAATTCAGGTAAAAGTCTCTTTACTGCCCACTATCTAATGCTGGGAAATTAATTATTAATTTTTTTCACAAAATTCAGTATCAAAAATGATTCATACTTGTTGGAAACTTTGGGAGTCAAATTTAAGTAAACAATTGGATGGCATAATATAAGCAAACTTACAGACCTCTCCTTTAATGCAGAGTTATGATTTAAGATTTTACAACACTGTTTTAATCCTATAGGAATCTTATATATACTTATTCTACAAAATGTTGCAATAAAAAGGTACAAAAGGGGAAAGTAACAAGCGATCTAATTAATTCAAAGTAACTGATAGAACAACCCTCATTGTCACTAAATTACCTTACATCTTTGGCCTTCAGTACCTTTGTTTGGAATTACAGTTTATAAATTTCTGAGACTTGGGTTCCTGATCCAACCCAATCTATAATTTTTTCATGTCAACGAAGAAAGCATCATTGTATTTGGCTAAATTGCAGTACATAGTCATCCTCATAATCTCATTCTACAAAGGGTGCTAATGCATTTAGTCACATGTAGTCATACCTCACTTAAGGCCTTGCTCATCCCAAAGAAAGGCAAGGTTTGAGGATATACTTCCATCTGATCTGCATGCATTTTTTTTCTGTTATGGCTGAAAAGGGGCTTTTCTCAAGTTGTTGAAATATATAGCTTAGGTAGAACAATATTCTGTTGAACAAAAAGCACTACTACGTGTCACATTAGACAGTTTGATTTTATTTTGTTATTCTACTTTCATCACGTAGTCCTTTCATATACTGTCAGAATCCTTTATATGTTAGTGGAATTTGTATTTTTCAGAAATTACTCATTTCTGAAATGCGTCTGATTTTCCAGTGAATATTCAAAGTTTTATTTCCATTTGCAAGTTTCGTGTGCAGTGTTTGTCCCAGACAGATAAATGTTTAAGCGAGGGTGGACTATGAAACTAAACCAGATCCAGATTTAAATTAACAGGATGAATAAATGAAGGAGACCATACGAAGAAATATCAGCAACCTTAACAAAACAAGGGGTACTAAAATAGCCTCCCAGGTTTTGTGGTTTTCTAATTATAAATGTAGCCATTTCTCACAAAAGACATTATCAAATGTCTGGAATAACTTTAGAAGAATAACATTTATTTTAGATTATTCTTAAAGCTTTCCTTCTTGCATGCAGGTTCTCATCTGTATTTTACTAAGCCCTTTGATTTCACTTCAAACAGAATATTATTATGAGACACCAAAATGATGCATTAGATGTCTCATTTTGTACCTATTGACTTGTGCAATGCAAAAAAAGAAAAAATAGGCAGTGACAAATCTCTTGTATATTGCTGTCAAGTAAACTACATCGATGCGTCCATGTATTCCTCAGATGTTGAGTCCAGCTTGAAGAAGATTTTAACATTCTGTGTGTTTGCTCAAAAGTCAGCTATTTATGTTAAATGCCTTTCAAAAGGTTAAATTGGTATGGCTAACAACAGTAAACAGGCAAAAAATGATAATTTAGCATTTGATACTCTGTATGCATTTCCTTGTGATTTCAGATACATTAACTTAATAATTGTTATAAAATACTATGAGATAAAGCTGTGTGATGTTAGGGATCACCGAGCTTATAATCAAACAATGGGAAACTGTTTTCTCAGAAGCAGAACTCAGTGTATGAAGTTATGTTTCTGCCTTGTTAAATCTGCATAAGATAGCAATTTGAGGGCTGCTCATCACCAACAGATCATTATTTACACTATAAAGTGTAATCCTTGTACTTCTGTAATTCAAATTTTAACTTTCAGCTTAATTATATTGAGTTCAATTGAACTAATATAGTCATTTATGATCATATTAAGACTGCAGTGATAAGAACATCTATTTCTAAGATTATGCCTCCTTGAACATCGTGGATCTCGTATGAAAGTAAAATTTCTGACATTAAAGTGAACTCATAAGCATGTCTATTTAGAAATAAAGCATTGCTCAGTTCAGTGAGTGTTAGATGGCTTAACGCCATTAAAATGAATATCAGCAGAACTTCATGGAGGTTGACAGTATTTTGAATCTATCTGATATTTGTGTGGCCTAGAGCCCAGGTACTTGAGAGATGTCTGTCTTCTACAACATCTGCCTGTCCTATATGATCAAAGAGATTTGCCTTGCTTTGGGTCCTGATAGTTAAGCGATGTCATCTAGAATAGATGGGTCCACAGTTGCCCTTCCCTGTGACAGTGCCTTTCCTTTGGAATGGCATCTCCACAAATATTTGTTTAAAGCATCTGCTTTAAAGTAAGCCATAAAAATACATCTCTTCCCTAACGCCAACCCAGGTGGTAGATCTTTCTTGATTGAGAGTGAAGGAGGTTGGGGTTGTTGTTTTTTTCTCCATTCTTCCCTTGGAATGATTGGACCAGGATGTGTGCTTTTCTCTATTGTCTGTTTGAAAAGCCACCTAGAATTATTTTTGGACTTGGAAAGTCTAGAAATTGGAGATACATAGATGGGTAGATAGATGGTAGGTAGGAAGGAAGATAGATATATGGATGGATGGATGGATGGATGGATGGATGGACGGATGGACAGACAGGAAAGACTAAGGACCTGTGCTTTATTCTGACCTAACTGATCCTTCCTATCCTGTGTTTCATTCAATTTTAGACCTGCATCTTAACCCTTCGTGTGTGTCTATTATGTGGTAAAGTTACTATATACAACAGTTCAAAATACAAGATTAATAAGTTACTTTTCCATGCTGATTATTTCCTGAACAGATTTGTTCCATACAAAGAAGGCATAGTGATCCAGCAGTTGTTCCATGTGCAAGGAGGAGAGTGGGGGAGGCAGTCTTACTGGTTCTCCTTTCCCTCCAGTGATTTCTCACACTGTTCTGGTAAAGTCACCTTGTAAGTCCATGCAGAAAATATTGGAGCAGATGGACAAACAGGCTTGGTACAAGGCAATCTTCCTGTGGTTCTGATAACACTAAAGCTGATTTGTTTCAAGTGATGTTAAAAAGTTCAGTATCTTAAAAAGTTTGTTTTTCCAATCAGGACTTTTTTTCTTCAGAAGTCAACACTAAGTAGGAAAACAAAGCAGATTATAAACACACACACTCACATATACCAACATTCAAATTACAGCATGCTAAATTGACTTGGGAAACGACCTTTTAACCTGCTATCCAGAACAGCTTTTCCTAACCCAATACCCTCAGATGTGGTGGAATGAAGCTTAGTTAAACATAGTTGCCAGGAATGATACTAGATGTGTACTGAATAAAAAAAGTTGGGAGCAGCTAAAAGAAAAATTCAAAAATACTGTTATTCCAACAAAATGTTTCCAGCCACAGAAATGCTTTTTACAGAACTTTTTGCAGCCTTCATTCTGTTGCCTGATTTTTTATTTTTTATTGTAAACTACTCCAAATTCTCAGAGACTATGAAACAAGCAGGAACTTCCAATCCCTGAGGTTCCAAACCACTGAACTCTGTTGACTTCCCTGTGACATTTTTAATACCTGTTCATAAACTAGAGAGAATGAACGATAGAACAATCCCTTAGAAACACAAACACATCTCAGAGTAGCCTTTATTGATGGAACTTGATAAGAGTGATAATGAATGAGGTGCCAATTCCTGCCCTTGGAGATTTAAAAAGAAAAATACGGCTGCATTTTAATGTGCCTTTCTTTACCTCGGCGGTAGCCGCCCATTGTTCCCATAGACAGTCATAAATAAAAGTAAGCTTGCTGTTGTATGCAGTTTAATTTGTCCTTTAAGTTTATCTATTTGCTTTCGCACCCAGTTTCCAAATGCATAGGCATTTTTTTCTGTGAGCTAGCATTATTAAATTGCACGTATCAATCATTCTTACCAGGATTGCCATCGCCAACTACATTAAAGAAGTCAGAGAAGTCTGGTTTCAGCAGTCCCTCGCCTTCACAGACCTCCTCCCTTGGAACGGCATTCACCCAGCATCATCGACCTGTCATTACAGGACCCAGAGGTGAGGCCTTACCAAAGTGTCCATGAGCTCTTGTTCCATGGCACCTTTGTCCTCAGGTTGGGATATATGAGAACATTCATCTGTTGGGCACCGGTGTGGTGGTGTCATGCCCCTGTCGGAGTCTGAATCCGAGGAGGAAGCCGAACAGCTGACAGGGAGTGGGAGTAGTGTGGCTCCGTTGACTGTGGAGGAAACTGGGGAAGTGCAAAGTCCAGTTGGGCAGAGCAGGGAAGAGGTAGAACAAGGGAGAGGGAACTCAGAGGAAGACCCAGGCCCACACCCTCTTCATCCTAGGGCACACAGGGAGGAATGGAGAAGAAGACAACGTGGGTTGCATGGCTTACGGGTGGATTCCTTTCATTAGCCACAGCTAGGAAGACAATTTATAAGAAAGTTAGGCTGCGTGCAGCAGCTGCTGGGAACAAACGTGACTTTATCTTGTGTTGCCGTTGCTTATCTGTGTTCCTGTGTTCCCAACCATTCAAAGGCTGTTCCTGGGAGAGTTTTTCTCCAGCCAGAAGGTAACCTGGACATTGGGGGCAACATTGGAGCTAACGAAGGGACTCTTGTTGATTATCTGACTGTGTTGCCTTTGTGCCACACCCCGGGTCATCACAGGTGGTTTTTTTGAACCAAAAGTAGACAAAGGCTTGTTAATTTTGTTCCCTCATTTGAACCTAGCTTAGGTTGCTTCATGGCAATCTCAGGAAGACAGATGGAGGGGGTTCTAGCTAATCAATGAAGTTTTATGACTTGGAAAGATAGACATGTATTTGTAGATATACAGTATATTTGCACACAGGTATTTGTATCTAGTTCAGTAAAATCATTCTGTTCTATTGCTTTAAGTCCTTAGCAGTCCATTAGATGTGATTTTATTTTTAATAAGTAGTGTCTACTCTAAGTCTTTAACCTCATTCCTATGGGTCTTTTTAAATGGTTTATAGCAGTGATCCCCAACCTTTTTTATGCCGCGGCCCGGTACCGGCATCAGCTGGGCGCCGCGGCCCGGTACTGGCATCAGCTGGGCGCCGCCATCTTTTTTTGATGAAAAAGTGCTTCCGGTGACCTCACTGGAAGTACTTTTTCATCAAAAAAAGATGGCGGCGCCCAGCCAACCAGCGGCCCGGTAGGACTTGTTCCACGGACCGGTACCGGTCCACGGACCGGTGGCTGGGGACCCCTGGTTTATAGTATTCTGGTTATTGTTGTTTGTTAGAATATTTTGTGACTTAAAATAAAGCAACTGACTCTTGATTTCCTGGGGCTGAATAATTAGATGTAGCTTTTCAAAAGTTTAATTTATAAAAGTTGCACTGTCCACACGCACATGCTGTAGTAGAAAAATGAGGTGCATTTGATTTCCTTTTGCTTAAAGGGTTAGGCAGGGTTTTTCACTTTGAAAATCTATTTATTCCTTGCTTAAGGCAGGGGCATATATAACACATCTTTTCCTCTTGATAAACATTCTCATTAAAAATGAGAAAGTAAAATAGATACTTGTGACATAATTTTCCTCCTATTGCAGTATTGTTTGTTTTTTTTTTCAAATATATAAATTGTATATACATCAATTACTAGGATTCACATTTAAAATAAAGAAAAGTTGAGATATTGTTTTCCTTAAAGCTGGTTGTATTTGTCTACCCAGATTTATTATTATAGGAAATTCTTTCGGGTAATTAGGTATAGGCTTCATTCTTAAAAACTTGTTGTAAATGATTATATTATAAACCTTAAGCTCACATGAGAAGTTGGCTGTGTAATTCTCATAGCTTTCAAAACAAAATAACATTCTGCTGGAGAGCTAGATGGGCTTAATTGGTTGTTAATCATGTAGCCAGTTGCTGGGAAGTCCACGTACACTTTAAAAACAACCTTGATAATTGGTGATAATAGCAAGGTATTCATAGTATCAAAGTTACATTAGCAGTATATTCAGCTGTACACCAGCTGATTGCAGTGTCTCATCCTGAAATTTGAACAAGTTAGACTCTTAACAGGAATTGCTTCCATAAGATTGCCATTGCTAATATGACATTGCATGCAAACCAGATATGGAGCTCAACTTGATCTTGAAAAAGATGACATTTTTTTTTAAAAGAAAGAGTATATTTTGAGGGGGGAAAAACGGCAGTCCCATGGCAATTCAAATACTAATAAATGCATATCATAAGCTTTCACAGACAAGAAATCACTTGTTTGGATTGGGTAAGCTTGAAATCACCTGTTTGGATTGAGTAAGCTTTAGCCCTTGAAATCTGTTGGACTTAAAGGTGCCATATGACTTGGTTGCTAAAATCTTTCCAGCATTCCTATCATATTGTAAACCACCCAGAATCATTGTATTAGTGATAGGTGGCATAAAAATTTAATAAATAAATTGTGATAATTGTTGCTATGGCAAATAGATTTTTGCAAGTATGTGAGTGCACTAAAGTTTCATTCAGCTTTCATGGGCTTATTAGGGATCTGTCTCTGGCCAGATTTCTTGAATTAGTGCTCTTGATTATTTTTCTCTTAAAGAAAAATCTTAATTTTTTTTAAAAAAAGCATCCAATGGAAAATTTTGTTGTACTTTTCCATAGAGCACTGATGTGAAAAAGCACCTTTTACTTCAAAAGACAGCTGCATTGAGCAAACTCATCTCAAGCCTTTATTGCCTAAGTTGCATTTCTTGGCCACCAATTCAATTAAGAAAAGCTGAATTTAGTCTGCACTGCTTCTCTTTATTCAGCAAATCTAGACATAGGTCATTGCTAAACAAGAATAAGGTGAAACCTTGACCAGAAATTTTAGCAAGGTAGGATTTATGTTTTTGCATCTTTGACTCTTCTAATTAAACTTTAGGTGGATCCATTAGAATCCTGGGGGGGGGGGGGTAATATTTTTTCCACACACACTCACTACTGCACGACATATTTAAGCTGCTAACATTAGTTGCTCTGTTAATATGTTGTCAGGTAAATTGAATTCCTTAAATTCAAGTTGAGGTTTCAACCATCATGAATTCCACCTCAGCATTTATATTTTGCCCATAAATTAGATTTGGAGTGACAGTTGACTTAAATTATGAAGAGCCCCATGATTACTATTCAATACGAACAGATAAAGAACTAAGGACAGAGAAAAGATAGTTATATGGATAATACGGAAGCAATGGACAAAACATAGACTATTCTAGTCTAAACATCTACTTTTTGTGCAGAGCGAATTTATGGAAAGGTATATATGTGACATGTGCAAGCTGACGGTATATACACCCCGATTATATAACTTGTGATCAAATAGGAAGCAGCTGGAGAGCTGAAAGAAAAACATAAAAGCATCACTTGCAGACAAAGAGGAAGTGTCCTACTGGGTGGATAGATGGATAGCAAGTTTCTTCAGGAATACTCTTTACTAATAAATAAATTAGTCCATGTAATATTTTTATGCTGCACATTTGGAGGTCACATTCAGTTAGTCCATTTTGAATGCAAGGTGTTTTATTTATTTATTTATTTATTTATTTAATCGTTTATATTCCACCTTTATTATTTTTACGAAAAACGCAAGGTGGCAAACATATGCAAGATATCCTCCTCCTCCTATTTTTTTCCACAACAGCTCTGTGAGGTGGGTTGAGCTGAGACTGTGTGTGACTCACTCAAGGTCATTCAGCTAGCTTTCAATGAGTAAGGTGACACTTGAACTCGGGGTCCTCCTGCTTTCTAGCCTGATGCTTGAACCACTTAACTAGACCAAACTGGCTCCTATATATGGCAATAAAATTAAGAAGCCATGGATCTTGAATATCATTGCTGTCATTTTTTTTTTAATCATCTAGGAAGTAAAGCAAGTAGGGATGAAAGCTGAATGCAATCCAAAATCTTTAGAATCTTTGTTGTGTCATAGAGAACATATCAATAGTGGGATCCTACCTTAGTTGCTACTGGTTAGTTGCTACTGGTTTGGTGGGTGATCATGTGCACTCACGCACCCCTAACGCTCACACCCCTAACAAGCCAATCAACTGAGCAGATGAAGAAATGAAAAGCTAGGAACGACCCTCCCACTTTCCTATGCGCTTTTCGGTCTTTTATCCTCTCAGCTGATCAGAGACCTTTTTTGTTTAACTACTGGTTCAACTGAACTGGTCCGAACCGGTAGCATACCACCACCAGTAGCATACCAATACTGTATTTATCATAAAGAAAAATCTTGAAATTTCCAATTCTATATTGCTTAGTAAATACTACATTTTAGATATTCTCCTGAAAATTATAGTATTGAGATTCCCCATGTTATGCCGACCATGGTTGCTTTCCTTGGAACCTATCATATGCTCCTCATATGACGTCTTAATTTTTTAAAAAAATCCTTGTAATCTAAATGTGAAAATAGAGTGTGCTGCAAAGAAAATAGCAAGTCCAACATCAACGGTATTTCTAATAATGCCTCTGGCACCGTATTCATTTGACCCATAAATCTCCCCTAAGAAATAAAAAGGTATTGAATATATATTGTATCAATAAAAAGACAAAAGAATCTAAGAATGAAAAGGGAAAACTATGGGAGCCAAAAAGGGATAATTAATACATAAAGAGGTTATTTTGCAAGAACTACATTTACAGTTTTTGTCTTGTGAGTTTTTGCTATAGTATGTTCTTCATGTCCATGATATGTTAGAGGGATGCATTTGCCTGGTCATGTGTTCATTTGTACCTTCATCTATAGTTCTGAATGGTATTCATTCACTTTTTATAAAATGGCTATTTTTTGTGATTGCCACCATTGTATTCATTGTTGAATAGACAAACTTCCACTGATTGTTAAAAAAATCCTATAAACGTCAAATGAACCCTCTCATCCTGAACAGTCCCATGTCACCAGCTACTTGGCAGGCAGTATCTAGTGGTCCATCAAGTCTGCGTTCTGAGGGGTTTTTTTTCTTTTTAATTTATGTATTTATATTATTATTATTATTATTATTATTATTATTATTATTATTATTATTA